AAGTGTTACAAGTGTTGCAAGTGTTACAAGTGTTGCAAGTGTTACAAGTGTAGCACAAGCTACATGTGTAGTACGTGTTACACAAGTTACAAGTGTAACAGCAATGTTAAGTAATATCAGTTTTTGTTTCTATGCTCCTAGGTATGTTGCTAATTCCTATGTTGGTATTATTACCTATTGAATTCATATATCTTGCATCAAATTACTGCGGTAAATACCTCACCGTCTGACAGTTATTCGGTCAATCTTGTGCCTTAATACCGATGCATTCATGCCTTTCTTAAGGAATGCATTCATACCGCGCCTCCAATACATTCCAACTTTTCATGAGGAATGAATTCATACCGCACCTACAGTACATTCATGCCTTTCTAAAAGAATGCATTCATGCTGTACCCCTCTAATACATCATCCCTTTCATAAGGAATTCACTCATGCCGGACTATTCCAATCTATTCCGACCTCTCATAAGGAATGCATTCATACCGCACCTGCAATACATTCATACCTTTGAAAAGGAATGCATTCATACCGTACCCCTCCTATACATTCATCCCTTTCATAAGGAATTCATTCATGCCGGACTTTTCCAATTTATTCCAACCTCTCATAAGGAATGCATTCATACCGCACCTGCAATACATTCATACCTTTGTAAAGGAATGCATTCATACCGTACCCCTCCTATACATNTGCAAGTGTTACAAGTGTTGCAAGTGTTACAAGTGTTACAAGTGTTGCAAGTGTTACAAGTGTTGCAAGTGTTGCAAGTGTTACAAGTGTTACAAGTGTTGCAAGTATTGCAAGTGTTGCAAGTGTTGCAAGTATTGTAAGTGTTACAAGTGTTGCAAGTGTTACAAGTGTTGCAAGTGTTACAAGTGTAGCACAAGCTACATATGTAGTACGTGTTACACAAGTTACAAGTGTAACAGCAATGTTAAGTAATATCAGTTTTTGTTTCTATGCTCCTAGGTATGTTGCTAATTCCTATGTTGGTATTATTACCTATTGAATTCATATATCTTGCATCAAATTACTGCGGTAAATACCTCACCGTCTGACAGTTATTCGGTCAATCTTGTGCCTTAATACCGATGCATTCATGCCTTTCTTAAGGAATGCATTCATACCGCGCCTCCAATACATTCCAACTTTTCATGAGGAATGAATTCATACCGCACCTACAGTACATTCATGCCTTTCTAAAAGAATGCATTCATGCTGTACCCCTCTAATACATCATCCCTTTCATAAGGAATTCACTCATGCCGGACTATTCCAATCTATTCCGACCTCTCATAAGGAATGCATTCATACCGCACCTGCAATACATTCATACCTTTGTAAAGGAATGCATTCATACCGTACCCCTCCTATACATTCATCCCTTTCATAAGGAATTCATTCATGCCGGACTTTTCCTATTTATTTTAACCTCTCATAAGGTATGCATTCATACCGCACTCCTCCCATACATTCCTCGTTTAAAAACATAAAACATGTCGGCCGTTGCACGTCAGTTCCCTCGCTGCCTCATTTGTAATTCAACACGAAGCCTTCATTGAAATTTTCCGCGCAAAAGTCCACGGGGATTGAGCGCAATATTTCAGCTTCCATTCTGAAATACTGAAAGTATAAAAAAAGCTGCTTCAGAAATATTATTTCGTTTATGCCTGCGGTTTTACGAGGATTATATTTAGTGAAGTGTAACATCCTATTTATTTTAGGGGGAAAGCTAGAGAGAACTTTATAGGCAACAATTTTACTTGTCAACGCAAGACTTACAGGGAAAATGCGTGGATTAAGTTCATGCAACAAGTCCACGGAGGCTGCGTGTAACATTTCACGATCATTACTCTAGTATATAATATATTTTGTGACGCGAGGTGTAGTCCAATAATATAACATGTTTTTTGTGATGGTAATTTCAATGGAAAAAAAGGGCATTAACAAAGTTGCAGTTAATATTTTTGTATTGCATAATAATTCTTGTATATTTGCAGTATATATACAATTATAAATATATTTTAATTTGTGCGATAGTATTACAAAACTCATTTCTTCATATCTCTGACATTATTACTATAAAAATATGAAGAATATATTTTTATATTAACTTATATAAATATAGATAATAATCTTATACATAATATCTATAATAATAGATAATAATCTATTATCATATAATATCATATATCGTAGCACAATACACGATTAATGTTCAGCTTTAGCAGATGATGCCCACAACGAGTGATTTATACGTGATGTTTATTTTTCAAAATAGTCTAATGGTGCTTCTAATAGTATAAATTTCTCAATATTTTTACGTACACATTCTCATAATACATTATTTGCATTATGACGAGCTAGCAGTTGCCAATTGTATTCAAATTAAAGTCGCTACACACCCAAACCTCTGTATGAGGTGAATACATGTAACTTTGTATAGAAAGTCTGGCTAGTGGACCCATGCAATGTTTATAGCTACAGCCTGAGATTTTAATGTTGAGAAATTGACTGGGGAAGTGGTGGGGAAGTGGTGGGGAAGTGGTGGGGAAGTGGTGGGGAAGTGGTGGGGAAGTGGTGGAGAAGAGGTGGGGAAGTGGTGGGGAAGTTGTGGGGAAGTGCTGGGGAAGGAGAAGTGCTGGGGAAGTGGTGGGGAAGCGTTCGAGCGAACCGTTCAATCTTGTTGTTTGACAAGACGCTCTGGAGCGGAAACGCCGCCTCTCTATTCCCCCAAGCCTGGGGAAGAGATGAGGAAACTAAATAATTCCCAAACGTTCACCGTCTTTTCTCTAGTCATTGTTCTGCTCATCCCCAGCATTTTCTTATCCTTCCCCACCTTCCCCAACCTTCCTCATGTCATTCTCCTCAACGTAAACAAGATCTCCCCAGATCGCTCGTTCACTCTTCAACTTCCCTCTCAAGTTTCCCCTCACTTTTTCCCCTCCCCATTCCCCACAGAGGGGAGGTTGGACGGCGTTCCATCACAACTATTAAACTAAATTGAAAAACTTCTTCTCCGATGCTCGTCTGTTTCAGTTTTTTTCATTCCCCACATCCCTCTTTTATTCCCCCATGTTCGCTTTCTATTCCTCACTCCTTTTCCTGATTTTTATTCCTTAACTCCAATGTCCATACCCCACGTTTATATTTATTTCTCTTTATCCCAACACCTCTCTTTATCCCCACACCTCTCTTTCACTATCCAGTTCACTATTTTATATTAACATCCCTCTTCCTACTCCCCCCATTCCTCATTTCGTCTCCTCGTCTCACTTCTACCCCATTCATTCCTTTGTTATTTTCTTCATCTGTCATCTGAGAATATTCCCTTTATACCTTCTCCCCTCACTTTGCGGTCGCCATGCCCATGCCTTCCCAGCTCCCCTCAGTTTCCCCTCAGTTTCCCCTCGTTTCAACTTTCCAAAAACTTGGCAATTTCGCGGCTCCCCACAAGGCGGGTGTTGACAGCCTCCATCACTTGGTGCCCTCATCCCCGAGGGGAGGGTGAGGGAATAGAGAGGGAAGTCTACCCTCTTAGCTTAGGCCGGTATAAAGAACTCCGTTTACCCTCAACCGGACGCCGTTAACCCTCAAATGGACGTCCTTGAACATAAACCGGACGGCGGTTAACCTTTAACCGGATGTTGTTAACCTTGGTCGGGCAGCCTTTACCCTTAAACTGACGCTCTTAGCCTTAACCGGGCTCCGTCAACTTTAACCTTATCCCGAACTTAACTTAACTTAACGAACTTTAAAAAATGTTCTTTAACCCGAACTTAACTTAAGTTAACTTAACGAACTTCAACTTAACGAATTTAACTTAACTTAACCGGGCTCCTATAATCTTAACCTGAACCGTTTAACCTTGACCAGGTAGCTTTTACCCTTAACCGGACTCTGTTAACCTTAACCGGACTCTGTTAACCTTAACCGGACGGCATTAACATTGTTATCAGGAGTTAGGTTAGCTGCTCCAACGCAAACTCTGCGTTACTCACTCGTTAGCGCTGCAGTTTCATAGCAGCATGCGTGCAGCTGGATTATATTCATTGATTTTCTGGTGCTATAAAATATAAATATTTTAGCGCCTGTTATTAATGAAGTTCAGCGTTATTATCAAAGTTGTTATTGATCAGCGCACAAGCGTGGCGAGACTTCATATTTTGCATGACTACGAGCTTCCAATACGAAAAAAAAAACGACTGGAATTTTGTTATCCTCCTATAAACTGAAATATATTCACTTAGTGTTTTTGAAATGGATTCATTTTATTCAATCACAATAGTTTGTAAAATAAAAGATAATAATAATATGTATGAATTACATGATCGTTTGTTTGCATCACAGGACCGACGTACAGACCTCAGCGAGGGGCGATGACGTCATCATCGGGGGTCGCCAACATGTACAGCTACACCCCCACCCCCCACTGCTCCCTGTCCAGGTGGGGGGCTAGGTACAGCTACACCCCCACCCCCCACTGCTCCCTGTCCAGGTGGGTAGCTACACCCCCACCCCCCACTGCTCCCTGTCCAGGTGAGGGGCCCTGAGCCCGCGCCCTAATAACTCCCTAAATAAATGAATAATTGAGTTGACTTAAATCATAATTAAAATTTTATTAATTAATCGAGAATTATAACAATGTATGTCCTTCAATTACAACAAAATTTGAAACAGATGTTAAATTTCTCGATTAATGAATAAACTTAAATTAATAATTTGCAAGCAAATTTCTGCACTCCGAAGCGATGAAGTTAGGCCTGTACTGGGCCTGCTCGGCCTAAGGCCTGGCCGCCTAAACTGTCTGAGAAAATCTTAATTTTAATCTCCCTTATTGCTTAATCTGCGTAGGCCTATAGAGCTGCTCTGCCATCCTGTAGGCCTTTGATGATGAACGCGGAATTTTGTGCCGCCTTTCCCTGAAAATTCACACCTAATGAGCCTATACAGAGAATTTCTTTTGCTAGGCCTAACGACCTCAGAGGCTGAAAATGGTCGAATTTTACGATATGTACTCACGGGAGTTTTGACTTACGGCTCCTTCAGCTAAGAGATTTTAATTTCTTGCACATATAAGCTATACGATAATTAGTTTGCTGACATGAAAATAAATAAAACAAATATTATACGCTATTAAATGTCAAGTAAATTCTTCATATCATCATTAAAAACCTTTAATAAAATATTTACTCATGAGAGATTAAAATGGAGAAACTGCAAAGTAAACAGGCGAGGTAACGTATAAAACTATCGATTACATTTGCGTGTAGACAAGAATTTGTAGCATTGTTCTTGTAATAGCTTCTGGTTACAAATATGCAGAGATTTTCAGATGCTTCAATATCAGTAATAAAAAGAATCATAAATCTTGTAATTTATTACCGATCTGGTCGGCGTGATTAAGGTACACAGCTGAATGAGGCGGATGGGCAAGCAGGTTCCTTGTACGATTGCACTAACCTTGCAACAACTGCACATTCCTAAACGGAAACTTTGTCTTAACAATGTCTATGTTTCATTTATAATTGAAAATGAAAATCAATATAGGTTTCGAAATCACATAGCTCATTTATCTGACTATTTACGTTTCAATCTCTCCCGCGTTAATTAGGTAGTTATGTTGAACATACTATCATTGCTGAAGCTTTGAGATTACGATGGAGCTCCGAAACTTGTGCCTTGAAGTTATGCTTAGCATTTCCATTACATTATTTATGAATACAATTTTTTAAGGTGACAGTGACACTTGAACTAAAAATATACTACATAGAGTTTCGTTACTTACGGTAACAACGATGCCAGTATTGGTAACGACCGTCATACACGGTAACTACGATGTTGGTATTGGTAACAACCGTCATACACGGTAACAACGATGTTGGGGAAGATAACAACGATTCATCAAGCTTTCCTCCCGCTGGGGAAGAGTTCCCCAGGGCCCACTGCGGAAACACTCATTTCCCCTCGCGCCCTCTGGCATTTCCCTCAGGGGAGCGGCGGTCCCTTTGAGGGATTTGTGGCATGCCAGAGGGAAGAGGGAAGAGCGAGCAATGGGAATTCTTCCCTCTTATTAGAGGGGAGAGGGAGCGAGTTCGATCCATTCCTTATTTATTATACCCTTGAATTTAATTAAAAATTAGTTAATCACTAGCATTAGATGATTAGTTTAATGCATTTCTATGATCAGAATTTTCTATTTAATTGAAGTGTTTCGAATATAAGTTTAATTATTATTTGTAGAACAAATTTTTTTTTGTAAAAATGATTATGTTTTATATACAAACTTTTGTTGCATACATAATCTATATATTTTTATACCTCGCATTTGTTTATGATATCTTATGATCAATTTATTTTGCTGGCTAATTTGTTCATATATATTTTCACGCATGCATGATTTCAAGTTCACATGCATGTTTTTACACATAACAAAAGTACATACACGGCAGCAACATGTACACCGCAGTAACATGTACACGGCAGCAACATGTACACGGCAGTAACATGTACATGGCAGTAACATGTACACGGCAGCAACATGTACACGGCAGTAACATGTACACCGCAGTAACATGTACACGGCAGTAACATGTACACGGCAGTAACATGTACACGGCAGTAACATGTACACGGCAGTAACATGTACACGGCAGTAACANGATTACGATGATGCTATGGTGGGTAGATGGTAGATTACGATGATGCTATGGTGGGTAGATGGTAGATTACGATGATGCTATGGTGGGTAGATGGTAGATTACGATGATGCTATGGTGGGTAGATGGTAGATTACGATGATGCTATGGTGGGTAGATGGTAGATTACGATGATGCTATGGTGGGTAGATGGTAGATTACGATGATGCTATGGTGGGTAGATGGTAGATTACGATGATGCTATGGTGGGTAGATGGTAGATTACGATGATGCTATGGTGGGTAGATGGTAGATTACGATGATGCTATGGTGGGTAGATGGTAGATTACGATGATGCTATGGTGGGTAGATGGTAGATTACGATGATGCTATGGTGGGTAGATGGTAGATTACGATGATGCTATGGTGGGTAGATGGTAGATTACGATGATGCTATGGTGGGTAGATGGTAGATTACGATGATGCTATGGTGGGTAGATGGTAGATTACGATGATGCTATGGTGGGTAGATGGTAGATTACGATGATGCTATGGTGGGTAGATGGTAGATTACGATGATGCTATGGTGGGTAGATGGTAGATTACGATGATGCTATGGTGGGTAGATGGTAGATTACGATGATGCTATGGTGGGTAGATGGTAGATTACGATGATGCTATGGTGGGTAGATGGTAGATTACGATGATGCTATGGTGGGTAGATGGTAGATTACGATGATGCTATGGTGGGTAGATGGTAGATTACGATGATGCTATGGTGGGTAGATGGTAGATTACGATGATGCTATGGTGGGTAGATGGTAGATTACGATGATGCTATGGTGGGTAGATGGTAGATCACCATGACGCTATGGTGGGTAGATGGTAGATCACCATGACGCTATGGTGGGTAGATGGTAGATCACCATGACGCTATGGTGGGTAGATGGAAGATCACCATGACGCTATGGTGGGTAGATGGTAGATGACCATGACGCTATTGTGTAGAGGTTAGTTCACCATGACGCTTTGGTGGGTAGATGGTAGATCACCATGACGTTGTGGAGGCTAGATGATAGATCACCATAAAACCATGGTGGGTAGGTGGTAGTTGGTACTACCATAAACTCACCATGACGCTATGGTGAGTTTATGGTAGATTGCAATTGATCATCATTTTTTTATTGCAACAACATACTCCATTTTCTTAATTTATTGGGTCCACTGATCAAGTTTTTTGTTCAGATTGCGGCAGCCTGATAAGCAGTCAGTCCAGCAGCGCGACCCCGTCCGACAACGCCAACGTTTCTCTCCCCAACGGCCGTCTTCCATCGTTTATTTCCGGTTTTCCTCCATCCCCAGGGGATGAAATATCTTCCCCAGCTGACCTTCCCCCACCTTATACCTCCAACCCGCCGCCGGCATCCACCTTGGTGGCTGTTCGTACGTCAGGCATTACAGGCAGCGGAGGCGCTGCCGTCAGCTCTGTAGTACGACAACATCCACAAACCGCGGCAGTGAAGAACCGCCTCTCCATGGGGCCCAGACGTACGACAGACGTCTTTGTTGTGGGCACAGGAGACCACGGTTGCACGACCGGGTCAGTTGAAGCTAAGCGAAGTAACTTGTTTAATTAGCTTGACATTTATACAGGTGTTCATGAATGTCCGTTACAATGCCTCGAATTGGGTATTGTTTCGTTATTGATTGTTTATTGTACAAATGAATGAACTCCATCGATCATTGAATTTTATGGCAGTCAGTCATTAACTTTACCATAACCAGCCATAGCTGAAATTACATTTCTATGAAGTCCCAGTACGACAAATTTAGCGTGTTTTTTTTTGTCTTCCTGGAATGAGCAAAGTTTATAAATTCGTATTAATAACACTTCATCTGGGTTGATTTTCCATCCTAAGCTTATTAATCAGTTAGAAGTTACTTAAATATAGCGGCTTGGCATTAAGCGCGATCATTCTACTCGCTGTAGCCAGTCCGTCAGTAGGTGTTTTGCAAGAGGGAAAGACACTGACGCATCTGTACGACAGTGCGCTGATTGGCTGCCTCGCTCCCACCTCGGCCGACTTGCCGTAGCAGTTGTCGTACAGTTTATGTATCGGTAGAGCGAGTGTAGATGTTCTATATTTTAATTCATTTTAAACTTTCTTAAGTCATCAACAGTGTGGAAACAACCTATATTGCTCCCAGGTGTCAACATCGTCACGCAATGAGGATGAATACCGGCATACATCCCCTCCTCAATTAAGATAACAAACACTTACAACGTAAAATTTATCGTTGCCGTAATAGGAATTTCACTGACGCTTACTTGAACAATAACTAAAAAAGATTTATGATGTATTAATACTCGCGGTCCCTGCAACATGAACGTTCTGATGAATTTTACGCTTCCCGACGGTTGAAACACAACTTCTGGGTGAATTTTTATAACAAGAATTAAAATATATAAAAAGTAATTGGGAAAACTTTTAAGTCAAGTTGTGACTGAATAAAGTTCTCGTATTCAAGTTTCTTCCTCGTTGGAAATTTCGGTTGAAATGTGGATGGCTAATGCTTGGCCGACTTTCTACTCTTGGATATTCCATTCATGATTAATACTTGAGTATGAAGCAGTTTATAATGCAGGCTTTTCTACTGTTAATATCCACGTTAAAAATTACAGCACCAGCCAATGCCAGGCTAATTTTTGCACTTACTCTCCATCGTCTATTAAATGACTTTACTTCACATGCTTTGTCTGTTGTGTTAAAAGTTGTTATTCGACATCGTATTGTGAGTTCAGAAACCATTTTTACCCTAAAATGTTACACATTCCAGCTTAAATATTAATGACATGAACGATTTGTAATTCTGTCGGCCACAGCATCAGCCTCCTGTCAGCAACCGTTGCGTCGAGTGTCAGCTAATTCTTGCTAATTTAATCAGCACCGCCGCTGCTGTAGCATGACGAGCATGAAATCGTGGCCGCGGTATGGTCGGCCAGCCATGACCCACCTCTGGTCTTCTAAAGGTCAACAGCAAATTAGCGGATGCATTTGCATATCAGGGAAAAATAATAGGCCGTTGACACCCCAGACTCAGTTTAGGCCTTGATGTTGAGGGGCGCCTTTCCTCTAGAATCTAAATGATGTAGATAGGAACATAGAAGAGAGCCTCCCTAGATGTGAGAACACTTTTCTAGATGATGCAGATGATTCCTAAAAGGCGGCCTAATGTGTAGACCTGATGCGTAGGCCTGATGTACACTCTTAATTTATAGGTCTACAGAGATATATTTATTGAAATTAGCGACATAAATCAGCTTATTAGGCTTATATTTATTTATTAAAAAACTGCCTGCCTGATGTAAAAATCAAACAAAATTACATCCTTCGGTAACTTCATAGTTATTCGCCATTTTTTAAGTCGGCTCTAACGTCGTTATGTTTAATGCTCAATTGTTTTTCATACCTGCCTGTTTAGTCTAAATAGCGTAATGATCTTAATAATTATCAGTTATTATAACTGTTTCATTACCCCGCAGAATGCTGAGCACCTTCACCCAGGCCCCCACAGCCCCAATCACCTCGCTCTCCCACAGCACCCATCTCTCCCCAGCCGACCTGCGCTGCCTCCCCAACTTCCTTTCCTCTGGCGTCTACAACCCCAACTCTGGCAACCCCAACGCCTTCCAGTTCACTCCTCAACCCGGAAACTCCAACCCCAACAACCCTTGCTTCACGTCTGACTACAACGCTGCTCGCTACAACAACAACAGCAACGGCTTCGAAAATAACTTAGATTCCCCTACCGGAAGTGGAAGAGATTCCAACGCAATTCCTAGTGCGATTCCTGACACATCGATTCCCGGTAACGGCGAAAACGATGATTCCGACAGCGGCCGTGCCAGCAACTCTGTATCGTCGGTATCTCCGCTGCACGGTAACTATAGTTTGAATCACAACGGAGTACCGGTAACTATGAACAGCGGGAACGCTGGTTCAACAGGAACCAAGAATCCTGTTTCGCCTTATGAACACAATCCTGTTTCACTTCATAACGGTGTTTCAAGTTACGATAGAGGGAATGTTGCAAGTCACAATCAAGTTTCAAGTTACGGAGGCGAAGCTGTTTCAAATGCTCACGGTCTACCAACTTCGGCGTACCATGAAAACATGGTTGCAACCTCACACGGTCACCCGGTGGCAGCTTCCAATAGTCACCCTTTATCAAGTCACTATAATAATCCCGTTTCAACATCACAAACTCACCCCGTTTCAACACCCCACAACATCAACATCATCGAGTCCATCAAGAAGAGGCCGCCAACGGGGCTCGTGATTGGCTCGTTCGCTCCGGCGCTGCAGCCAATCACGAGGCCGTGCAGCACCGCACAGCACGTCATCATCACGGCGTCGGCCACCGATGATACACCAACTGATATGCCGCCCAAGATGTTCAACCTCACCAAGTTCTGAACATAACTCAAGTTATCTCTGATGAACATCATCAACGTCCGACAGGATGTTCAACCTCACCAAGTTCTGAACACGACTTAAGTTATCTCTTACGAACATCATCAACGCCCGCCAGGATGTTCAGCCTCACCAAGTTCTGAACACAACTCAAGCTATCCCCTCTGAACATCATGAAAGTCCGCCAAGATGTTCAACCTCACCAAGTTCTGAAGCAGATTTCAAACGAAACTTTGTTTATGAACCTCATTTGCGCGAGTTTTTTTTTACGTTAATCGTTTGTTCCCGGGAATAGATTGAGATGAAAATATTTTCTAACTTGTACACAATTGCGGAGTTTTACTTAATTTTGGAGATAATGAAATTGTGTATGTTGCTCAACTTACTAGGATAATTTACAGATAACTGCCAGCGACTCTGAGCTTGAAGCAAATTCGTATAAAAATATAAAGTCCTGGACTGAACTCTCCGTAAAAACCTGGCGAAGTTCAACCTTTGCCAGACTGTATAATTTTAAAACATTTTTATCGCAGTAAATGAAGGAACATGTGTACTATGCAGTCTCACGAGGGTTACACCAAGTTATAATCACGAGGTTCCTATATAGATTATCTGCAGTTTGTTGATTGTATTCACCTTGAAGGTACGAGGCATATTGTAGTCATATGCCATATTGCAGGCACACGCCATATTGTAGTCACACGCCATATTGTAGTCATATGCCATATTGCAGCCATACTCCTTCCCTAAATGCAAGACATATACGTATAGAGATAAATTCTGCTATCAGCATCAGGATTCGGTTGGGCTCAGGGTTCGGATTGGGCTCAAGGTTTGGGTTGGGTTGAGGGTTCAAAACGGGCTCAGGGTTCCGTCACATTGATTATCTTCTTTTGAATGGAACAACCAGCAGTTATTGAGTCAACATTATTACTTATAATTACCTTAGCTGAGCACCTTACTTATAGTGATTGCCGTATAGACTGTGGCAAAACCATTTGCCATATTACCTATGATAAAAACTGTTACCATGTTACCAATGATTTTACCTACTTACATATTACCTATGATATAACCTAATGGGTCAACTTTTACCATATTAGGTATAGTACAACCTATGACCAACCTACTGACTGTTGTTATACCAATTGATGCCTCGCCTGCAAGTAGTTCTGGTTCTGATTCAGGGTTTGGATATTGCGATTTGTTCAGGTCCTTATATATAGTTGCCGATATCAAAAACCTTGTACTAACGCCGTTGATTAAAATCTCACAATTATTTATGATTATTAATACAACTCGGCAAATTAGATATACACTTATCATTATATGTTTATGAACAAATAATTATTATTCGACATAAATAGGTATCGTTATTCGTTACAAAATGATTCATCTCCTTGCCAAGTGCGTGCCACGTTGTATGTTTAACCAAGTTTTAGAAGGATGGTCAATCCACCAAGTGCCTTGTACGTGATAGATTATCGATAAAAATGATGATTAGGATTATAATAATTGTAATAAATCAATAAGTTTTTATTGATTTATTTTGAATTTTAGGTTGAGGGTCGACTAGGTTGCTTCAAGGTTTATAGAGGGTAACAATGCAGCGTATGAAGGTTGAAATAATAGATTTGAGGGCAAATTTCGACAGATTACGATAAATTTAGTCTGATTTGTTTGTGCTGTAAATTAACTTAATTTTTAAAATAGCAACCAATTTTAGGTTTAGCCATAACTGATGAGCTTGCAACTAGCGCGCGTGTTGCATCGCGCAACTAGCTAGTTGCGCGATGAGCGCAACTAGCGTTCAGAGGTTCAGTTATAGTAACTCTTGTTATTAGTTTAGTTCAACTAATTCACTGCTTTCCATATGAGTTCAATACTATTATTTAATGATGCCATTGTATTAATGATTGTTGCAAGTCGATAGGAGGAATTGCAAATAGTGTATATTAAGCCATGAACAATGTATGAAGATGCAGTGACTCAGCAATAAAGCATGTGTGTTAATAGTTATTTTTCTGACTACCTATAACTGAACAGGCATCATATTCAGTAGCTTGAATTTACAGTTAATAAAATGAATATCGAATAATAAACAAAGTTGTTGATAAATTATTGGTGATTATTCTTTATACATTATTGACAGTTTAATTATCAAGTATTATTAAACTTAAATAATTATGTTAGTTAACAAATTCAACAAACAGATCGATTGAAATTTCTGCATACCTTAGGTGAAACGAAAATTGAAAATAGCAAATCCTGTAAACCCTCGCCAGATGAACCTTCAAGCCATTCAATATCACATCTCAGCCTGCATTGATCAATAAAAAAATATCGCAACTTAAAATTAAATAATTTCTAAAAACGTTCAGTTCCAGCCCGCTGGGCCATGAACAAAATACGGCAAAGTAGAATTACTTCGATAATTAATGAAAAAATACGTTAAACCTACGACGTGTAGCCTACTTCTTATTTGGCTTTGGAAAGCCGCCAAATTTTCTTCAGTTTTTTGAGGTAATCCGAAAACTGGGAGGAAATGACCACATTTGGCGTCGATGTAGGGCACTGCCATCATAATTTATTTGAACCTCATCGCATAATTTTTTCCTGGATTTTTTATTTCTGCGGATCAGCAAAAACCGGACCGCGGCTCCGCGATTGCCAAAACAACGTCAATTTGCGGACGAAAAAAACAACTTGGGTTGTTTTGTTGTACATCACAACCTGCACTACATCACAACCTGCACTACATCACAACCTGCACTACATCACAACCTGCACTACATCACAACCTGCACTACATTACAACCTGCACTACATCACAACCTGCACTACATCACAACCTGCACTACATCACAACCTGCACTACATCACAACCTGCACTACATNTCCTAATGCTATTCTTACCTGCTGCCAATCATTCCTAATGATATTCTTACCTGCTGCCAATCATTCCTAACGCTATTGTTACCTGCTGCCAATTATTCCTAACGCTATTGTTACCTGCTGCCAATCATTCCTAACGCTATTGTTACCTGCTGCCAATCATTCCTAATGCTATTGTTACCTGCTGCCAATCATTACTAATGCTATTGTTACCTGCTGCCAATCATTCCTAATGGTATTCTTACCTGCTGCCAATCATTACTAATGCTATTGTTGGCGCTGCCAATCATTTCTAATGGTATTCTTACCTGCTGCCAATCATTACTTATACTATTGTTGCCTGCTGCCAATCATTCCTACATTCCTAATGGTATTCTTACCTGCTGCCAATCATTCCTAATGCTGTTCTTACCTGCTGCCAATAATTTCTAATGCTATTGTTACCTTCTGCCAATCATTCATAATGCTATTCTTACCTGCTGCCAATCATTTCTAATGCTATTGTTACCTGTTGCCAATCATTTCTAATGCTATTGTTACCTTCTGCCAATCATTCCTAATGCTATTCTTACCTGCTGCCAATCATTCCTAATGCTATTCTTACCTGCTGCCAATCATTCCTAATGTTATTCATACCTTCTGCCAATCCTGTCTCTTATACACATCTAGATGTGTATAAGAGACAGGAGTTAGAGTGCAGCTAATCAGCCAATCAGTCGACCAGGATACTCATCGGTGAGACAATAAACTAATCATGCAGTTAAGCAAAACTATAATGAGGTAATTGGTTCAGAAGCCAATCAATCAGTCAAGAAAAAATTTGCCAATGATGATATAAGACACTGAAGCCAATAAGAAAGTTATCCACTGAAATCAAAAATTCCTGAAGGAAAATAAAGAGTTAATCATGAATACCATCAGTCAATTAATCAGAAAATCAAGAACGCTACCAGTTAATTAATCAATTGGCCAGGTAGCCAATCATTAAGTTAATCAATCATACAGGAGCCAATAAATTCATTGACCACGTACCATGTGATATCTCCATCAATCACCAGCCGGTGGTTGCCATTCACAATGATTTAATTATGTCTCGAATTAGTGATTGCCAGAGGATGATGATAGTCCTGGCGATGTTTTTAAGGCCTAATTATCATCAAATTTGTTTGGATTGCATTTTGCTGTAAAATTAATTCAAATTTGCTAAAACATTTGCTGTAAAATTTTATACCAGAAGTTGTGGCAACATTGGCCCGTAAGGATTGCCTTTAACGTTGGGAAGCGATCAGGTTTTCTATTCTGCAATAGAATAACTGCGTGTAATATGTTAATAGTTTTTGTCTTTTAATTCAATTTTTAATTGTCTGTGTTATATGAATGTATTTAAGTGAGTGTTTATTTGAAGGAGATCTTCCCTCCCCTGTTCCTCAATTAAAATTTAATGTACCTATACGATCCCAGACCAATAATATTTTTATTAGTCTTCAATCCTGCCAAGGGAACAATCTCAACGAATGCAACTCATCACAACGATCATGATGGGTTTCAGCTATGATATATATAATCAAGAAAGTAATGCGTTAAATGAAGCATTTCCTTAATAAATTCAGGATTAGAAGCAATCAATAATTTCGTAATTCCACAGGTAATTGGAATAATTATTTTGTTTTAACATAACTGCAATCCTGTTTCAGTTGTCCATAATAACAGGAATACGTCCTTCAGGCTCTAGGATATCTAAACAACTTGTGGATTTTCAGAACTATTTTAATAATTATCATGAAAATACAAATGCTTTTACCCATTTTAGTAAATGTAAAATCTTCTGTTATTCCAGGTTGCCTGAAAAAATCTCTCTCCTCTGAAAATAAATGAACCTATTCTTCCGCTGCTCCGGCAGTGAAATTTATTCATAATTTGTACGTTAATTAAAATGTTATGTTTGTATTGCTGTTCTAGGCAGTAAAACACGACGAGAAAGCACATGTATTTCAGTAGGAGGCAAACACAAGAAGACTTTAACACTTTAATGTATTTCAGGCCTTAATCTTCTTATAATACCTTAATTCTTGGTCCATTTAAAGAATTTAAAATGTTAAAGATAAAGAGAATTATTGTCTTCACTCAACGCCCGTCCAAGCGCTATAAGAAATTTGATGATGTAACAAGAGAAGCTGGGGCGCGAAGTGGCTAATGAAGGTTGAATTAACCTGATTACTCACTATGCCTTAATTAGAGCTTAAATCGGTTAATTAGGAGCACTCAGAAAAATTAAAGGATAATTGGAAGGGCTTGGGATAACTCAAAGGTACTCAAAATTACTTATGGATCATCAATCCTTAGGCATATAGCTAGGTCAGTATAAAATTTAGAGATGGTGAATGAGGTTTAAGAGTTTACGTATTTTATGTCATATGTATATGTTGTACAGAGTTTCTAGGGTCAGGTAGGGTTGCTCAGGGCTGGGGTCAGTGAGGGCTGCTCAGGGTTGGGGTCAGGTAGGGTTGCTCATGGCTGGTGCGTGTGCACAGCACGCTACACGCTCAGCGTGTTCACAGCACGCTACACGCTCAGCGTGTGCACAGCACGCTACACGCTCAGCGTGTGCACAGCACGCTATACGCTCAGCGTGTGCACAGCACGCTACACGCTCAGCGTGTGCACAGTACGCTATACGCTCAGCGTGTGCACAGTATATCACACTAATCATCGCCAGTTAGACCTATTACAACACTTCTCGTTAACTTCACTTCTTGTTTGTCTGTCTGTCAGTCTGTCTGCTACAAATCTTATAATCGATATTTAACACACTTCTACCTGTCTATTCGATTTGAAATTTGGCACACTTGCGTAAAGTTGGAGACAATGCATGAATCAATTTACAGAATAAATAATTTTCTATATTAAAAATTTTTTTTTCAATATTGAAAAAAAAATTTAAAAAATAATTTCGTCTCCTACAAATTTTATACTCCATATATGACACAATTTGATATGTCCAATTGATCTGAAATTTTGCACAACTGCATAAAGTCAGAGACAATGCACAATGAATCAATTGACAGAATTAATTATTTTTAAAATTTACAAAATTTTGATAACTGAAAAAAATTGAAGAATAATTTTTTTAATATTTGAAAATGAAATTAGAAATTCATTGTACATGTGTAACATCCAAGATACTGGATTGTTCAGAAGTGTTGTTTTTAAAAAGAAATTTTTAAACGCATATTATTTTATAAAAGTATTTTTTTTTAATTTCGCTTATAACTCAATTTCCTTTTAGGTTTAATTTTGTGTATAAATCAATTACTTCCCTTTTAGTTTGCAATGGTTCACAATATTTCGGCAGCAGTGAGGAACATTCGCAACTTTCCCAACTAATGTAACAGCCACAGCGCTTATGTCGCCACAGCACTTATGTCGCCACAGCGCTTATGTCGCCACAGCACCTATGTCGCCACAGCACTTATATCGCCACAGCACTTATGTCGCCACAGCACCTATGTCGCCACAGCACCTATATCGCCACAGCACCTATGTCGCCACAGCACCTATGTCGCCACAGCACTTATATCGCCACAGCACTTATGTCGCCACAGCACCTATGTCGCCACAGCACTTATATCGCCACAGCNTGGTATATATATAAATTCCCAACATATAATTATAAGCAAGAAGGCCGGAAGTTCTCACTGACTTCATCATTATTTATTTCTAACGATCAATCGACGGCAACGACATCCATAGCTCAGCTTGACGTGACATATGCGACACGCACGCTAAACACGCGTTGCGATTGAAGTGAAATTATATGCATTTGTTCAATGATACATTTGATATCATTATGATAATATTGATGATAATAAAGTCTATGATGAGTGATGGGCGTGTAGTGGCCATGCTGCTGCCTCGCTGTTAGCAGATCGTAACGTTGCGTGATTGCTGCTCAAATAAAGTAATTGCAATCGATGAATGTTACGAATCTTTAAGTAGATTTTCGTAAAAATATTTGACTAATAATTTTTTGACTTAGAGAATGAGAAATGCCTTATTTTATTATTAATTTCAATCTAAATGGTAGAGATTAGAAATAAAGTCAACAACAACAATATTCGCT